ACGGGGACTAGCCATCTTCATGTAATTTCTTGGCCAAATTCTGCTTTATCTGGTCATAGACTAGAGCCATTTAAGTAAACACATTCCCTCCACCACCACCACCACCACCACTCCAAAAAAATAATAATAATCAGGTTAACTGAGAAAATTTCTCATGCACCAACAGAGGTATGATATTTCTGTATAATGTATCTGTTGACGAATGCTGAATTTCTATTCCTAACATAAGAGAGAATAAGTCTAGTTCAAAATTCATTTTCTGTGGCTTTATCTTCTCTAGCCAAAGAGCTAATCTTGATGGAAAAGTGTTTTTTTTTCCTTTCTCATAAAATGAAAGAATATATTTAATTAGAAAGAAACTTAAGAGTTTGTGTAGTCCAGGGGTTCTTAACCTGGAGTGCATGAACTTGTGTCTCTAATGTTTCGATAATTTTATTTCAATATAACTGGATTCCTATGTATTTTGTTTCCTACATTTAAAAATATCATTGGCAGAAGGGATCTGTAGGTGTCACTAGGCTGCCAAAGGCTTTGGTCTGTTACACAAAAATGGTAAAGAACTTCCCTGCTCTAGTCTAACCTTCCTTGAAATGCAGAAGTTTCTGCCAAAGCCTCCCTAACGGATCTGATCTCTACTTGAATACTAATGTAACAGGGAGCTGACTACTCCCTCTAACTTTGCTTTTTTTAATTAATTTATTTTTATTTATCAACAGTCACTTCCATATGCTTTTGAGTTTAAAATTTTTCTCCCCCTTCCTCCCCACCACCCTCCCCAAGACGGCACACAATCTGATATAGTCCATATATATAGATATAGATATAGATATAGACATATAGATATAGATATACACATTCCTATGAAACATATTTTCACATTAGTGATGTTGTAAGTAATAATTAGAACCAATTTAGGAGGAACCACCAGAAAGAGGAAACAAAACTCAACAGAAGAAAAAAAAATAGCAAATAGTACGCTTCGATCTGCTTTCAAACTACATAGTACTTTCTTTGGATGTGGACAGCATTTTCCGTCACAAGGCCTTTGGTACCTCCCTCTACCTTTGACACTGTTCTTTCTTAGGTTAAGACGAAACCTTAAGAAGCCTAAATATAGGAAACAATAATAATAACACAACACAGATCATCATTGAGATTAGTACTAGGACAGACGACCCTTTCTGTCCAGAAGAGAGAGATTTTTTTTTAGCAAATACATACATAGCTATAATACACAATATTATACAATAAACACCTGAGGAGGGAGATCATTATCAAATGGGGGCTTCAGGAAAATCTTCATAGAAGAGGTAACATTTGAGTTGAAGAGGATGGGGATTTAATAGGCAAAGAGGGGAAGAGGGCATTACATGCATACTTAGCAGCAAGAGCCAAAGTAGGAAAATATATATTCAGTAGGGGCAGAGGATAGACCATTATGCCTGAAACAGAGTGTATGGAGGGGAGTAAAGTGACATAAAGCTTGAAAGGCAGGGTAGTACAAGATTAAGGGCCTTGTATGCCAAGTGAAAGAATGTGAATTTTAATAGGCAGATGATAGGAAACTACTGAAGATTTCTGAGTAGAGACACACCATGCCCAGACCTATGTATGGGAAGAGAGCAGAAAGAACCAAGAAGGGGCTATTGCAATAATCCAGGGCAGTAGTATTAAAGTTAAAGTGGTGGTTGTGTGGGGTAGAGAGGAGAGAATACAGATGGGAGTTGTTGTGGAGGTGGTAGATGATTGGCTATGAGGGGGAAAGTGATGGAGAGAGAAGAGTTGAAAATAACCCTAAAGTTAAAAACACAGTAGAGCTTCTGGTGGTACCAAAGAGAGAAACAGTGAAGTCAGAAGGAAGGGGCAGGTAAAGGTAAAATAGTCTGTTTAGCTTGAGGTACCATAGGGACAATCTAGGAAGGGTGACAATGAGAAATGGAAGTCTATAGAGTCCAAAAGAAAAGCCAGACAGATAATAGTAACAAAACTGTAAACAGGCAAGCTGTAAATTCTACTTGACTCATTGTACATCAGTGGTAAAGTCAAGTCAAGTCAACAAGCACTTATTTATAGTGTTTACTATGGACCAGGCACTGGGCTAAGCTCTGACTGAGGATGCAAAGCAAGGGAAAATCGCCCCTGTCCTCGAGGAGTTCCGGGTTTAATGGGGCAGACAACTTGCAGACAACTGTGTGTATATAAGATACGCACATCGGTCAAATTATCTCCCTTCTTGAAAGGCAATTTTCATCACGCTAAAATAAAAATGGGATAACAGTAACTTACTCAGTGTCTAAGTACGGCAGAGTGAATTTCTAGATAGAAAATACTGGTGCCTGAAGAAAAATAAAACTATTTACTAAATTCTGCAGAGTTAGCAGGCACAGAAGCAAGAACTATGGATATTGAATACTGCAGACGTCAGACTTTTTCAATGGATTAGTTTGCTGCACTGAGGTTTTTTTCCCCCCTTTTTTAGCGCTGCATTGGGAAATGTAGATACAAAAACTAAGTATATCAATACATATATGGTTTGTTTGTTTGTTTTTAAAGAAAAGAATTAGTAAACAGAAGTAGGGAGTCCATATACTTCTTGGTATTTTTTTAAATGAAATTAAACTGGCAAGAGTTAATGTTAAGCACTCAGCAATCTAACCTGTGGCAGCTAAGTGGCACAGGGGATAAAGCACTGGATTTGGGGCCAGGAAATCTGAGTTCAAACTCGAGCTCATCTTGCCTCAGGCACATAGTAGGTATGTGACTCTAAGCAAATCAATTAAACTCATTCAGCCTCAATTTCCTCATCTGAAAAATGGAAATAATAATAAGACCCTCTTGACAGGGTTATTGTGAGAATCAAATGAAATAACATCTGTAAAGTGCTTTGCAAATCTTAAAGCAATATGTAAATTCTACCTATTACTAAGAAGAACAACAGCAAACTTCCAGAGGCAGAGTTGAAATGTTGGAATAGAAAAAGCACTCATGGGGCAGCTAGATGGCGCAGTGGATAGAGCACCAGCCCTGGAGTCAGGAGGACCTGAGTTCAAATCCAGCTTCAGACACATGATAACTCACTAGCTGTGTGACCCTGGGCAAGTCACTTAACCCCAATTGCCTTGCCAAAAAAAAAAAAGAGAAAAGAAAAGAAAAGAAAAAACACTCAGCTTAGCTCTCTCAACATTTCCCTCAAAACAAGTTTAAGATAATGCCTCAAATTTAATTCTGAGTGTCAGAGCCAACAAAAGGTCAGAGTGAGACATTCTTCCAGCCCAAAACAACACAGGAGGTTGGAAAAAGATCTGTGACATGAGGGTAGGAGGCTGACTTGGAGCCCACAGCGTGGGCCGAGGCCCAGTGGTGGGACTAGAAGCAACAGCAGATTTGAGGGCTTTCAAGACAGGTACAGTAAGGGGACCTGGCAACTGGTCAGAAAGAGTTTACAGGGGACCCCGGTGCTAGCACGAAAAATAGGACTAGATGTTGATGGCAACTCCATTGCCTATACCCACTCCTGGGTCATAGTTCAAGGGTAGACAGGGATACTTTTGGTCAAGAAGAAGTGGAAACCCTGAAAGGCGGTATCACTTCCAATCCCAAGAGATTAGTGACCATGAGGAAAAGCATTGTTTCAGGTCTCAAGGGAGGGGGTGCCCTCCTGGGGTAAGAACCGGAGTGCAGACCAAGAGAGCAGTGACCACACCTCTCCCCAGATCACATCACCTTGGAAGCACTGAGAACTTCCAAAGCCCTAGAAGTAGTTCTGAAAACAGCAAAAAACCTGAAGCTTTAGGGGGCCTATCCCCCTCCCACACCAGGAACAGAACCCAACATGAACATAAAATTCCAAATCAAGAAATAGGGTGGCACCAGCCCTGGAGTCAGGAGGACCTGAGTTCATGTCTGGCCTCAGACACATAATGCTCGCTAGCTGTGTGACTCTGGGCAAGTCACTTAATCCCAATTGCCTCACCAAAGAACAACAACAACAAAAAAAAAATCATCTTATTGGGGCAGCTAGGTGGCGCAGTGGATAGAGCACCGGCCCTCAAGTCATGAGGATCTGAGTTCAAATTCGGCCTCACACCAAACACTTGACACTTGCTAGCTGTGTGACCCTGGGCAAGTCACTTAACCCCAACTGCCTAAAAAAAAAAAAATAGGGTGGAAAAATAAGAAGGGCAGATTTTAAAAAAGGCAGTGGTCAGATGCAAAATAGACTTTAGAGGAAGGACAGGATAAAAAGAAAGAGAGAAAGATAAACAGAAGAAAATAGGATGAAGGGAAATGCACAGTTAGTAATCACAACTTTGAGTGTGAATGGGATAAATTCACCCAGAAAATGGAAGGAGATAGCAGAATAGATTAGAAACCACAAAAAACACTTTGAAACAAAGAGTCACATATAGATTTGAAGTAAGGGATTCAAGCAGAATCTATTATGTTTCAACTGAAGCAAAAAAGGTAGGGGTAGTAATTATGATCTCAGACAAAGCAAAAGCAAAAACAGACCTAATTAAAAGGGATAAGCAAGAAAACAACATCTTGCTAAAAAAAAACATAGATAATGAAGAAAAAACAATGCTGAGCACGTATACACTAAATCACATAGCAACCAAATTCTTAACAGAAAAGTTAAATGAATCACAGGAAGAAACACATAGTAAAACCATACTAGCAGGGGACCTCAACTTTCCCCTCTCAGAGTTAGATAAATCTAACCATAAAATAAATAAGAAAGAAATCAAGGAGGTGAATAGAATTTTAGAAAAGTAAGATAATAAACTTCTGGAGAAAACTGAATGCAAATAGAAAGGAGCCTATCTTTTCCCCAGCTGTACATGGCACCTTCACAAAAACTGAGCATGCATTACAGCATAAAAACCTCACAACCAAATGCAGAAAAGCAGAAATGTTAAATATGTCCTTTTCAGACCATAATGCAATAAAAAATTACATTTAATAAAGGGCTATGTAAGCACAGATTAAAAGTTAATTGAGTGTTAACTTCAGCAGCACATATACTAAAGTTGGGATGATAAAGAGAGATTAGCATGGACCCAGTACAAGGATGAAACACAAATTCATGAAGTGTTTCATATTTTTGGAATAGCTGAACAAGTTGTAGTATATGATTGTGATGGAATACTAATGTGCTATAAGAAATGATGAGCAGGATGCTTTCAGAAAAACCTGGAAAGACCTACATGAGCTAATGCAAAGTGAAATGTACTGTGGTACTGTGTACAAAGTAATAGCAAAATTATTCAATGATCAGCTGTGATAGCTGTTCTCAGCAATACAATGATCCAAGACAATTCCAAATGATGAAAAATGCTATCCAACTCCAGAAAAAGAATTGATGGAGTCTGAATGCATATCAAAGCATACTTTTTAAAACCGTCTTTGGGGCAGGTAGGTGGCGCAATGGAGAGAACACTGGCCCTGGACTCAGGAGGACCTGAGTTCAAATCTGGCCTCAGACTCATAATAAACACTCTCTAGCTGTGGGCAAGTCACTTAACCCCATTGCCTACCAAAAACAACAAAAACAAAAACAAAAACAAATTTCTTTATTTTTACTTGGGGGGAGGGTTTTCACAATATGACTAATACGGAAATAAGTTTTACATGACTATACATGTATAACTTATATCAGATTGCTTGCATTCTCAATAAGGGGGAGGAGAAGGGAGAGAATTTTGAACTTGATTTTTAAATAAGAATGTCAAAAATTGTTTTTACAAGTAATTGGAAATTTTTTTTTTAATTTCAAATTTAAAAAATGGAAATTAAATAACCTAATCCTAAAGAATGAGTGGGCCAAAGAACAAATAATAGAAACAATCAATAGTTCCATTAAAGAGAATGACAATAATGAGACAACATTCCAAAATTTGTGTGATGCAGACAAAGCAAAATGTAGGAGGAAATTTATATCTCTAAAATATGTACATCAATAAAAGAGAGAAAGAGGATCAATGAATTGGGCATGCAGCTAGAAAAAAGAAAACAAACATGGCTAATATGGAAATACGTTTTGCATGACTTTACATGTATAATCCTTGACTTCTCAAGGAGGGGGTATGGTGGGAAGGAGAGAAATAATTTGGAACTCAAAAAATTTTTAAGTGATTGTTAAAAAACTTTCTACATGCAAATGGAAAATACTTAATGAAATAAGTTTTTAAAAGAGTAATAATTTTCTTCTTCCAAGTCAGCACCATGCCCCCATTCTGATCCCACCCCAGTTTTGCAACATTAAATTCTTGCCTGTTGTAAATCACTGATAAGCTTGTTCTTCTCCTCTATCAGCATAGCACATTGATGCTGTTGTTCATTGAGTAAGCCCCACAGATCTTGGGGAATCCTCTTCATCTTACTGTCTTCCCACTTTGCAGTGATGTCATAAAACTTTTCCTGACTGGTCTTGATTTCATTCTCCAGCTTCTCCACTCTGCAAACACAAACCATTCAGTCCAAGACACTGGGCTAGACATTCTGCTAGATCAGTTGAGGCTCTTTAGAGCTTTGTTTGGATTTGTTGAATCAGTGAAGAAAGGGGAGAGGGAGAAGGTCTTGATTATTAGGGGAACAGTAGAAATTAGAGGTATGGAGGCCAAAGTATGCATGATATGACTGAGATATAAGAAATAATCCCAGGAACCTAATGCTATTCATGAAGATACTTGTCTTACCTCCTCAATAACATTGTCAGCTTCTAATTCTCACCAATAAAAATTAAACAGTTAGGGGCAGCTAGGTGGAGCAGTGGATAGAGCACTGGCCTTGGAGTCAAGAGAACCTGAGTTCAAATCTGGCCTCAGATACTTGACACTTACTAGCTGTGTGACCCTGGGCAAGTCACTTAACCCCAATCGCCTAGCCCCCCCCCCCCAATAAGCTCAATGAGTCAAAATTGCAATATGACAACCAACAGGCCTTTATATATGATCTCAGAGGACAATGGTAAGACAGCTACTAGGTGTTAAGAGAAAAGGCTTGAACTCAGACCGTCCTAATTCCAAGGTCAGTTCTCTATCCACACATGCTACCTCTCAGGGAAGCACATAACACGTGCCTAATAAACACTTTTTGAATTTGTTCTCTTCTAAAAATATGAAGCTACTTCCAGGCCTACTGGTAATTCCTAACAAACTAACATCAGGCAGGAGTTGGGAGACTAATACACTGGGTGAAGTCCTGACAATAAGAATTTTAAAGAATTCAGTGACCTTGAGAAGAGAGAATCATGTCTGTGCTCACAAGGCAGCAGGGCAGCAGATTTCCTTACCTCTGACGCTTTGCTTCATCTTCATCTAACCTCCTGTGAGTCTCTCTCATATCACCAGCAATTTGGATGTTTGTCACCAGCTCAGTGCCACAGAGCAGCAGCTTAGACAAACTCTGGAAACAGAAAATACAAGAGATACAACCAGACTTCTGGAATACGGTTCACACACGAGCCACAGATGCCTCAAGAACGCAGATTTCAGTTTGGATGACTAAGGAAAGATTCAAAAATTGAATGAGCTAATCCCAAAAGTAACAAAGCCCTTCCCCCCATCCCCAAAAGGGATTTTGAAAGAACATCTGCCGGGGCTGTCTGAGAAGGGTTGGATGTTTCTGGTTGGAGCTGGCCTAGGCAATCTCCGAGGATTTTCTCAGCTCTGAAATTTTGTGGTTCTAGATTCAGTAGAGAATGGGAAAAGCTCCTTCTCCATTTCCTCAAGAGATGAAGAGCACCTGTGAGGCTTTTATGACTAATATTTATTTAGTAGAGGCAGCAGGGCATAGTGGATAGAGAGCCAACCTTGAAGCCCAGAAGGCCTAGGTTCTACTGTTGTCTCTGACACATGCTGGTTGGGTGACCCAGGGCAAGTCGGTGCTCGAGGCAACTCTCTAAGATGATAAATCACAGAAAGGTGCTGATCTGCTTTGGTGAGGGCATTTCTTCACCCAGGAGTCCCTCGTGCCAAAGAAATCAACAGTCTAGTCCACACCCCCCTTTCTATTTAGTATAAATCTCTCCAAACCAGTAGAAAGAGATCAAAGGATCATAGATTTAGAGTTGGATGGGGCAATAGACACCGTTGAGTTCAACGTCCTTATCTCATAAATGAAAATCTAAAGATCAGAGATATTGAGTGATTTGTCCAGGGTCACACAGCCAATGTGTGTCAGAGGGAGGACTTGAACTCAGGTCTCTTGGCTCCAAATGCAGTCCTCTCTTCATTACAAGGAAGAGAAGGAAGAGCAACAACAGTACAGTACTTCTAAATACTCCAACTCAGGCCTGCTATGGCAGGATTTCTTTACCTCTTAGTTTCAACAGATGTGAAAAAGAAGTATTCTAGCCTTTAGGCACATAGTAGTCACTTTGTGAAATTCCATGATTTTTTGACAGTGTTCTCTTTCCCACTCAAATGATTTCAGCCCCTCTCCTACTCAATAAACTCCACTGGTTCTTTACTACCTCTAGGATCAAAGATAAACTCCTCTTCTGTTTGTCTTTTAAAGCCCTTTCCAACCTGGCCCCAACCTACCTGTTTCAATCTTACTGCACAGTACTTCCTTTTGACATACTCAGTAACCTAGTCAAGACATTCTCCTTAATGTTCCTTATGCAAGACACTCCATCTCCTGACTCTGACCTTTGCACTGGCTGCTCCTGGGGAATATACTACCTACTCACCTCCACTTCTTAGGATCCTGAGCTTCCTTTGAGACTTTGCTCAAGTATCACCTTCTACATGAAGACTTTCCCAATCCCCCCCAGCTTCTAGTGTCCTTCCCACCAAAATCACCTCATATCAATTTTGTGTGTGTGATTATTTGTGGGGCGGGTGTATTTGCAAATGCCTACATGTATGCCTCTTGCCTCCCCTTATGAATGTAAGCTTTTTGGAGGACAGAGAATATTTTACTTTTGTCTTTGTGTCTCCAGAACTTAGCACAGTGCCCAGTATATAGAAGGTGCTTAATAAATACTTCCTGATTAATTGCCAGGGAAAGTCAACCAACAACAACAGCAACAATGACTGAATGCTGGACAACAAGCTATGTTAGGTACTACTGAGGATAAAAAGAAGTCTAAGACAGATTACCTGTCCTCAATGGATTTACAATCTCATTGAGAGATAAGACATACACATACCACAGGAAAAGTGAGATGATAAGCAGTGTGTAATCCCAAATCAGTAGTCCCAACAAGTGGTACTGATTAGCAGTAAAGGAGTTCAGGAGAGGGAGAATGGATGGAGACCTGAGACCTGAAACAGGATCTAATGTAACAGATAGGATTTGGAAGGATAAAGAGGAGGGGAAAGAACATTCCAGGCAAGGTACATAGGATGAGCAAAGATTCAGAAACAGACATGAACTGACCATATTTGGGAAAGTGAGCAGACTGGTGGAAAATAAAGACAGACATGGAGTTTGAAGGCTATATTACAAAGAACCTTGAATATCAGGTTAGAAGTTTTGGTCTGTATTTGAGAGGCAAGAAAAAGCTTTTGAAAAAAAAACTTTTTGAGTACAAGAATAATAAAGTACTGTATTGAGAGATGATGAGAATTCTTTCACTTAAGAGTTCTTGGACTAGGAAAGCTCTAGTCTGGTATTAAGCATAGTTCTGTCTGAAGTCAGAGAAATGGGATAAGTTGTCTATAGAGGTCCCTCTCAGTCCTATAGTTTTGTGAAAAAAGGAGCTATTAAGAATCCAAGAGGGGCAGCTAGGTGGCACAGTGGAGAGAGCACCAGCCCTGGATTCAGGAGGACCAGAGTTCAAATCCGGCCTCAGACCAAATATTTGACACCTATGAGCTGTGTGACCCAGGGCAAGTCACTTAACCCCAATTGCCTAAAAAAAAAAAAAAGAAAGAGAGAGAGAGAATCCAAGAAGAGGCTAGGCTTGGTGGCCTTACAGAACTCTCCTAAATCCTATCCTTTTGCTAGCCAGTCCGCACCAGTCTGCTTTCTTCTTTCTGTTTGAAGCTCTTGGACTGGTCTTCCTCACTCTCCTTCTTTCGATCTAGAGACTCTCCAAGTGCTTCCCTAGAATGGAAAAAAATGAACAGGGAGAAACAAAATCATTGTTCTGCAAT